CTTAGTTCGATTTGGGGGGTTAGTGTAGACCAAGCCTCAAATGTGGACTAGTATGTTCAGTCCATGCTGGTTTGTTCTTCTGTGTCTGGGAGCTTATAGTTCTCAGCATGGATAAAGAGGCAAAATCAACGTCTTCACAAAGCATCTATTTCTGCATGACAAATTCTGCAAACCAATCCCACTGTAATTGTCTTCACCGTGAGTCAATGTATCATACAAATGACACCAACTTTCTCTCCCCATCCCAGAGAGGTGTATTTCGGCTCGCAAACGAAGACTATTTCATTGAACCTCTGGCTACAAATAAGCATGAGGATGGTACAGCCCATCCCCATAGGATCTATAAACGTCATGCTCCAAAATATGAGGAAGAAGAGTCGATAGTGGAATCCAGCAGAAAGCGAGACAGGAAACAGCCCGATACCTTGGGAACATGTGGAGTCCAAGGTATTTTATCTACTTTATTGCAGTTTCAGAGTGAGTCAAAAGCAGCTAGAGGATAATTGATTTTAATAATAGGACAATGAAAGATAAACTGTTCGGGCCCCATCCTGCTAGGTGCTGAGTGCCTTTGATATCAAAGCTCAGCATCTACCTCTGTGCTAAAGCATTCAGCATCCTCACACACAACTACCTGCAAGAGGGATAGAAATTGACCATTCATTTGGGGGTTTATTCATGGAATGTATTGTACTGCAGGTCAAGTGTACCGACTAGCAATAGGCTAGCTAAAGAGAAAGCTCTTAGGCCACCCAGAATATTTCCAGCAAAGACATACCCCAACTGCAAGTGCAGTTATGCCCCAAAAGGGACAGAGCCAGAGCCTTCAGGAAGTCTACTAATGCAAGACAAGTTTTGAAGTGGAAGGTGCTCCGGTACTACAATGAGGGTAGCACAATGAAGCTCTAGGATAGATAGATGTATCAACAGCGAAGAGAGTGCCAAGTTTCCAGAATCGTAGACAAACATGATTTCCACAGACATTGGTATTACGGAAGGGCTGACCGCTTTTCAAATTGCTGGTCATGAGTGAGTGAGAGCTGCTAAGGAATTTGCTTGTGGAGCACCAGGCAATCATTTTGTGGTATTCATAACTTGAGTCCCACGAGTAACAAGGGTTATGCTAGAGTGCAGCACTTTTATTGTCACATGGCAATCGTTCTGCATTTGCTAGGGTTTCTCGTGTGCACGTACACAGGCATTGCAGCCCTAAACCACAAGCCACTGATTGCCGTGTTTTTCTTCGTACTCCAGTGTGAACGTTCTGCTTTGTGGTGACTGTTCGTTTTCTTGCAAATATCAGTTGTTGTGACTTCGCCACTGGCTGGACTTTCAGAGTGAAATAGTGGCTCCACTGAAGTCAAATTCTTCCAGAGCAGTGGGCTTCCCACAGTCTTTTGGAATTTAGGTGGGGATTATTTGATCTAGAATAACTGATCCAAAAGAGGAGAGACGTGAAGACTCAAATCAGCAGCATCCCTTTCCAAGAACAGAGCGTGCCTGGAAAGACCGGTGGCCCCCTCCAGCTATGAACTAGTATTTTCCTACCTAACAGGTGTTTTGAGGATAAACACATTAAAGATTGTGAAATGCTCAGTTACTGTGATAATGGGGGGCTGTGTAAGTATCTTAGACAGACATCTCAATTGCCAGGGCAGGAAGCAAATGGTACATTATCTACCTTGGGCGCCAAGGCAGAAAGGTTTAAATGCACAGTTCACTGGTTACTAGCTCACTTGGAAAATTTGTAGATTGGATCCACTGCAGAACAGGTGAGACCCTCCAAAGCTGGTCCAAGACCCAAATCTTCTCAGCACTTGCTGCCACAGAAAGTAGCATCAGCACAATCACGCGTCCTTCCGACACTGAAGGAGACGGACAAGGATTGGTTAAGAATATTACCTAATATTCTTCACATCCTTACCGTGGCGTCTCTGCGGCTGTGGAGCGTAGTAGAATTCCTTCCAAGGTGAAGTAGGGTGCATGGTACAGAGCAGCACTGGACAAGAGCGGCATTTTGTTCCCCGTGCAAGGTACAGTAGATAGAGAGGAGCAGTAAATCTGTATGTGATGGGTAACTCTAAGGCTACGTCCTCACTACGGGGGAGGGGGGGTCGATTTAAGAGACGCAAATTCAGCTACGCTATTGCGTAGCTGAATTCGACGTATCGGAGCCAACTTACCGTGCTGTGAGGATGGCGGCAAATCGACCTCCGCGGCTCCCCTGTTGACGGCGCTTACTCCCACCTCCGCTGGTGGAGTAGAAGCGTCGATTCGGGGATCGATTGTCGCGTCCCGACGAGACGCGATAATTCGATCCCCGAGAGATCGATTTCTACCCGCCGAGTCAGGCGGGTAGTGTAGACCTGCCCTTAGACACTATGAACATACTCTGAACATCTTGTGAGCTTGATCCAGGAATCACTGGGTGAAATTCTATGGACTGTACCATGTGGAGGATGAGACTAGATGATTCATAGATTTAAAGGTCAAAAGAGTCCACTATGATCATCTAGTCCAGAGGCCCCCAATCTGTGGGGCGTGCCCCCTAGGGGGGCATGGAGGAATGTGGGAGGGGGGCACGGCTGGGGCCTGGGCCAACACCACAGGGGAGGGGTGGGGAGTGAGATCCACCCAGCTCCGCTCCTGGCCCCGGCCCTGGCTGCTGGCCCCGCTCTCAAGGCTCTGCTCCTGGCCGTGGCTGCTGGCCCCATCCCTGGGACCCCAGCTGCCGGCCAAAGCCCCTGGACGAGGCTCTGCTCCTGCCCCCAGCTCTGTCCTAGCCTCGGCCCCCTTACCCCTGTCTGCATCCCCCCCTCCCAGATCCATGACCCTACTCCTGGGCTCGGGGCGGGGCATGGACAGGGGTAAGGGGGGGGGCGTGAGGTAAAAAGTTTGGGGACCACTGCTCTAGTTTGACCTGCATAACATAGTCCAGAAAACCTCACCCTGTGACTCCTGCTTCCAGGAATCCATTCCCTCTGGTCGCTCTAGAGCACGCCTGTTAGACCTCTGGGTAGTTTGGAAGCTTGTATCTTGACCCAGCAGAAGCTGGCCCAATAGAAGATATTACCTCCCCCACCTTGTCTCTCTCATATCCTGGGACCGACACAGCTACAACAACACCGCAAACAATCTTTCAGAAACACATTCTAGTCCTGATTTAAAGTCTTCAGATGATGGACAATCCACCATATACCTAGGGAAAGTTGTTCCAGTGGTTAGTTACCCTCACTCTTAAAAATTTGCACCTAGGACTGAATTGGCCTAGCTTCAGCTCCCAGTGGTTGACCCTTGTTCAGCCCTTGTCTGATAGATTGATAGATAGACAGGTCTCTATGTCAGAAGTTTTTCCCCATGTAGGTATTTATACATTGTGGTCAAGTCATCTCTTAGCCTTCTCTTTGTTAAGCTAAATAAATTGAGCATCTTTAGTCTATCACTACAAGCAAATATTCCTTTTGGCCCTAAAAATCTATTAATTGATGATACTGAATGAATGAGTGAATCCCCCGGGGCCTCGTTTGCCCAGATGATGATGCATGTAACTTTCTACTAGAGTATGGACTAGTAATTTAGTCCAAATCACACTTTGGAAAAGAACATGTAGAAAATCTGTAGGATTTCCATTACTCTGGTCCTATCACTTTGGATTATGAAAGGGGCTGATTTTATGTATAAAACAATACCCAGCAAGGTAATGGTACATTCACCACATATATTGTTTTCTGCCATTGCGTCCTGCCGTATACAGTGAACATACATGTACAGCAGGGTGAGTCTTTAGGATGGTGTTTGCAGTTAAAATTATATACACACTTCCTTTGGTGTCCAGAACTCCATGTTTTCCCAAAAGACCCACATCATAAGACCCACGTAGGTCAAAGCTTTACAGCAAAGTTTGCAACAAAAATGAATTCTAAGTAAGTTATTTTCATTAAACTTCCGTGATGATATCTTAGCACTGGAGACTTCTCAAATTATCCGGATATTTGGGATTCTTTAGGACTAGAGGGCAAACTTTCTCTCATTATTTAAAGCACAATGCAGACGGTAAACACGGACAAGTTTATTGTTAGTGAAGTAATCCTGAACCTTTCGAGCCTGGACAGAAAAGCAATTCCAGCTATTTATGATGCAGTTAGTAAAGCTGTTATTCAGCCTGTGATTGACCCTGACACGGGGGCAGCATCACAGGAGAAATCTCCACATGAGACTGCCCAGTTGCTATGTGTAATTAGGCCCATTCAAGCTTCCCTTCTGCATCATGCCATCTTTTTTCCCGTTTTTTTGCATGAACGCTCTTGCTGTCTCTCCCCAGGGTGGAACTCCTGGTGGCAGGCCCAGGGGATTCTCAGTGGAATTCCATCTCCCGTGCAGCCCCACAAAGCCTGAGGTGACTTTTCTAGCTTGGTCAGGACCCTTGGAGACCTTTAGGATTTGGTGTGAGCCATCAACCCAGTTTATGGGGCAGTGAATTTATTGTATTAGGGAGCTGTGTCCCCTTGGCAGAACCTCTGGTTCCCATATTGTTCAGCCACTAGTTTTATTGATCTATCACGTATGTGCCCAGACACTCCTTGATAGTTGCATAATAAATTGGTATATAAATAAAAATATTAATAACTGTGCAATGTAGGTTTCCTGTTGCTGTTTGAGTTTCTCCATGACCCGCGTGCAATATTCCAGGGCAGAGTTCCAGTAAAAGAACTTGATCCAAACCCACATTTGGATTTCTCTCCAATACGCTAATGCCACCAAGCAACGGAAAGAGTTCAGAGGCCTTTCTTCTAAGTGGTCTTTTGAACATGTGGCTCGACAGAGTAGGTAAGAGTGAGTTAATGGTCTATGAGTCAATGGTCTGTGTCTTGAGGGCTCTAGTGGCTTGGATGGGATTAATTCCTTTTTTAAAAAAAAATCCTCTTATATTCCACCAAGCTTTCAGCCGTTATCGAAAGCCCATTCCCTTCTCCATTCTTCAGAATCTGAGCAAAGCCTGGAGACATCTGAGAAACGGAGAGAGAGATGGGAACAGAAACAGCAGAGGAAGCGAAGAATAAAACAGCGCTCCATCAGCAAGGAGAAGTGGGTGGAGACCTTGGTGGTAGCGGACACCAAGATGGTGGAGTATCACGGAAGTGAAAATATAGAGAAGTACGTGCTGACCGTAATGAACATGGTGAGTTCTGGGTTCCATGACCGTGAAATCCACTGGTGTCCTTGGTGGCCTAAATGTAACCCATACAGGTCAGTGGCATATATATAGGTCATTTGAATTTCCAGGGTTCAGCCCTTTCCAGTGATGCCAGTTGCTTGTGCAGGGGAGGGAGGCTGTGACTAATGCTCCCTTACTCCCCCATGCATGCATGTAAGGCAACTGACAGTTCTCTGCTTGATAAATAAATGAAAACCAATAGCCTGCCCTCATTTTGGGCCTGATCCTAAGCAATTGGAGTCAATGCAAAGATTCCCATTGACTTGAGGAAGCTTTGGATCAAGCCCTTCGTGCCCACGACTCCTGAAGATCAGTGTTAGTGCCACACGTCAGACAGGAGCTGCAGAGAAGATGCAGTCGTGTTTAGCAACCTCATCTAGAAACAGCTTCCTGCAGCCCACCCAATAATGCTCTGAGCTGGGGCCAGCTGACCTGGGACCGAGTGGAGTACTAGCCTGGCGAGCACTGGATACGTGAATGGCTTTCCTAGGAATGTGTCATTGTGAACAGTTAAAGGGAAAGCGGCAAGTAAAGCAGCCAGTAATAGGTGATGAAAAACCCTGGCACAGAACTAGGAGAGTGTATGTTATGTGCCATAAGGGCTGTAATAAAAGTCAAATGCAGGCTCGAAAAGTTAATTACAGTAATTGCATTCAAATGCTTCAACAGCGAACATTGCTGCTTAATCTTTCGGAGCTCAGAGACACATTTAATTGGAAGGTAGGTGGCAGCTTGGGTTAATGAGCTAGCCCTTCGCCTTCAGAGACCCACATTCAGTTTTGTATGAGGTCACAAGTGAAATGAACTTCATGATCTCAGTCTAGTCACCTGGTGGTATTTGCTCATATCATAAAACCACCAGGCAGTTTAGCATAATTCGGCACAATTAGCCTGCTCCTCTTTTGGGACTGAAATAACACAGTTCTGAATGTGGCTAGTGATTCCAGCAGAAGATGGTGGGGGCAGAAGACTTGGGTGCAACATCATTTGCTCCATCAGTAGTGACCAAGTTGGAACAGTTCCCCTTGAGAAACCATATACACTCATTACGTCGTGTAAGCACATCCTCACACACATTTTTGGTTGAAATTCACAGCTCTAATGATTTCCAGTAGCGCCATAGGCATGTCATTAATGTTTAGGTCCAACTCTGGGTCTGAACTTCCTTAGTGTTGGACTCATCCCTGATTTTAAGGAACTTCTGATTTGGGACTACACTACCCAACAGTGTCTTTTAAGACCATGCTTCTCTATCCGATATGTTTACCATGAGTATTGCAAGCAGAGTGATTGCTTTCTCCCGCCCATTATTTTCTTGGCCGTTTATATTTCTGCAGGTGGCAGGTATATTCCATGATGCCAGCATTGGAAACCCTATCAACATTGCAATAGTTCGTCTTATCCTGTTAGAAGATGATGAGGTAAAAAGAAAACAACGTGACTAATATTTTTGGTCCATTTCCATCTTGGCAGCTCAGTATGCTTCTGTATGGTCAGTTGAGAACTGGCCATGAAAGCCCATAAACTCTCACTTTCATCTCAGGTGCATGGCCAGAAAGCTCTTGCACAGAATAAACACAGGCACTAGAGACTTGATGCTGTGATTGCTGCATGGGTGGGATTTTCTTGGAAGCCAGCGGGAGTTCCACAGGCAAAGACGCTGTAGAATCTGGCTTATATTGAGAAGTAGCCACTTATTCAGTAGTTCTTAAAGGATTCCCAACAAAATACAAGTATCATCCTCCCCATCCAGCAATCTCCGGGAACTAACCCTACTGCCACTGGACATGCTCTTTTGCTCTTGGCAGCATTTCCATTCAAATTAGAGGCGGGATGGCTCCACTCTGGCAGAGATGTGACTGTGAGTCAGGGTGTTTCCCAGCAGATGTTGTCTTCTTTCTAGTTTCCAGAATTGGCTTAGTCCCATAGGAGCATCCCAGCTAGCAGCACTGAATGGTGTATGTGAAATGCTGGTTGTTTGTGCTTCCCAGCTGCAGTTATCATTCTCAGCTAAGCTTGAAGTTGCTCAGCTGTTTGGTCTGTTTCCCCCAGCTGTGTCCTTGTAAAAGATTCGGCAGCCTAATGGGAATATTTTCCTGCAGGTTTAACTCCCTTCACTAGACTGTCTAACATTGCCACTTGATCATAGTCAAATGATAGTAAAAAAGAGGTGGATTCTGAGCTCAGCTATGTGGTGTAAATCTGGAGTAATTCCATCTAAGTCAGTGTAGTTACTTCCCATCTGAATTTGGTGTAACTGAGATCAGAATCTGCCCCCAGTGTCTCTTAGTGACAAAAAGGACAACACCATGACAGCAGACTTTTCCTTTCTTATGTTGGCAGGAGGATTTGAAAATCACCCACCATGCGGACAACACCTTGAAAAGTTTTTGCAAATGGCAGAAAAGCATCAATGTGAAAGGAGATGCCCACCCATTGCATCATGATGTAGCTGTCTTGCTCACCAGGTATCCTGCTTTGCGCTTTCTGCTTGTGCTAGCTCTCTGGTTTCAGCAATTTACCAAGTAGTTAGAAATACCTACAAAGCTGGGAGATAGAGAGAGACACTCGGATCTAATGTGTGTGAGAGAGAGAAAGAGGAGGCTATTTAAATTCCATTTTCCTTGTGGGCCCTTTTTTGACATTTACACATGTAACTAGAGATGCAACCTGCTCTTTTGAGATTAGCCTATTCCCAAAATTGGCGCTAGCCGCAGAGTTCAGATCCACATCTGGAATATGGATTCAAATTTACCAGCACCTGGGGCTGTTAAAATGCAAGGTTTGGTTTGACCCCCTCTCCAGTTTCTGGACCCCCATCGGGGATGTTCACGTGTATAAACTTGCCATTTTGTCTTATGGATCAAGGCCGGGATTTGCAAAAGAGCATCAAGGAGGGTGCCTAATTCCCAGTGAAATCCTGTGGGATTTGGGCACCTGGATTCTTTAGGCTTCTTTGAGGAGCCAAGCCCAAGTGTGTTTTCCTTATGGGTAAGGGGCACAGTCTGCTGGTTTTAAGCCACTGCAGTCTGGTCTATGGTGATATCCAGTTGTTTCAGTAACTCCCAATGCATTCACAAGCATGGCATCTCCCCCAACACCCTCATTTTCTCCAGGAGATTTACTTTGCAATAGAAATAAGACACTGCAGGGCAGTACATGCCTGTGGGGTTATTGTTATTGTTCTTCTTGGGTGGCTGTAGTCACTGCCATAGCTACCTGGGGTTGCCGTAATCCCCCAAGAAATGCACCGGCCTGTCGTGTCCCATTGCTTAATTATTCCCAGCCCCAGCTGTACTTTTAAAGTGGAATTAATGTAACCAAGCTGCTTTTGATTTTAAATTAATTAGGCTCCTTAGTAAGCTTGGCTCCCGGGAGAGCAAATGGAAAAAGAGGGTCATAAATCTATTACATTCAGATGCATCCACTTTTTGTTTCTGTTTAGCCACTTAATACGTTGTCACCTTTTATATACACGCTATATATGTTACAGCTGGGTTAGTAAGATACTACGTCATGTCCCAGGATGGAACGCCAGCACCAATCAGCCATAGGCTGCAGATATAATTGCACTGTGCAAATTGTATCCACCAGGTACACAGCAGAGAGAGCCTCCTACACCTCTACCCCGATAGAACGCTGTCCTCGGGAGCCAAAAAATCTTACCGTGTTATAGGTGAAACCGCGTTATATCGAACTTGCTTTGATCCGCCGGAGAGCGCAGCCCCGCCCCCCCGGAGCACTGCTTTACCACTTATATCCGAATTCATGTTATATCAGGTCGCGTTATATCGGGGTAGAGGTTTATATTGAAGTGAGACCAGACTCCCTTCTACTCAGGGAGACGTTTACCATCCCCTACTCCCGGGGTCAACGTTTCAGAAGTGGTGTGCCGAGTCTTCATTTATTCACTCTGATTTAAGGTTTCGTGTGCCAGTCATACATTTTAACGTTTTTAGAAGGTTTCTTTCTATAAGTCTATAATATATAATTAAACTATTGTTGTATGTAAAGTAAATAAGGTTTTTAAAATGTTTAAGAAGCTTCATTTAAAATTAAATTCAAATTCAGAGCCCCCGGACCGGTGGCCAGAACCCGGGCAGTGTGAGTGCCACTGAAAATCAGCACGCGTGCCATAGATTGCCTACCCCTGCCCTACTAAATACAAACCTTGCATTGCTTGCAACGTTCAGAGTTCCCCTTTCAATCTAATTGCTGACCCCACTCCCAAGTTTTCAGACAATAGTTTTGCTCAGTTTTATTTTGACACTTTGGAAGCTGCTATGATTTAAACAACCGATTTGTCCCGTGTGTGTGTTTTGTTTTTTCCCCCTGAATGTAAAAGGAAAGACATCTGTGCTGCAATGAACAGGCCTTGTGAGACTCTGGGTCTCTCTCATGTGTCAGGAATGTGTCAGCCTCACAGAAGCTGTAATATAAATGAGGATACAGGACTTCCCCTGGCTTTCACCGTGGCACATGAACTCGGACACAGGTACTTAGGGATTTGTTTAATCTCTTTCATGACCCCTCTCCTGGAAAGAGACACTATTCAGCTCTTACTTTAAAGAGTGCAGGTGGTACAGAAAGTGAGGAAATATCCATCCGTACTCAACCTTGCCTTACGCAGGCAAAACTCCCTCTGAAGTCAGTGGAAGTTCTGAGTTTACCTGAGGGTTTTGCTCAGAGAGTTTCATTTTTAGAACTTTGTTATTTTCTGAGTTTAAACTGTCTCTGCACACTCCCAGGAGTCCCAGCTCAGTTACATTCATATGTCAAATCCAGGCTGACTGAACTCAGTGTCTCTGACTTCAAGGCAAGCTGAGTGGTGTTCTGTAAATGGGCTGGCCCTAGAGCAAACTAGACTTTGTGAAATGTTTTGAACAAGGCTTTTTAATTAGGAATTCTTCAAATTTAGTTTATAGAATTGGCGGCAAATGTTTGGTTTGTTCTCCCAACCTGGTTAATGCAATTAACCTTTGGAAAGGTCTTTTAAATACCAGATTAATACAGCTCCAGGAAACCATTATATATTTTAAATGTTAATTTCATTTCATATTGTGAATATCACATTTCTGTGGGTAAGTATATAGTGTCTGAAGTTTAATTAAATCAGTTTGGTTCAATAGTCTCATCTTTTCCTTGTTTGGGTTTGCAATAAGAAAGACTACTTCAAAATTCTTTTATATTTACATAAAACTATATACCTTAAGGAAAGTACCATATATTGATATAGTCACTGACTTGCATTAAACTTTGGATTCATTGATCCATTAATTAAAGGTTTGCTTTACGTTTTCCCCTTCTATGGCCCCACTGGGTTTGATATCAGCTATTCCACATAGATCCTCTTCTTTGCAGACGGTATTTCTTCCACGTTATTTCAATTACATTTTTAGCAAATGCCTCAGAAATATACAAAAGTGAATAATGTGTCAAATTGGCAACTTACAGACAGCTAGCTACAGCTGTAGTAAACCGCAGCCTTTAAATTCAGTAACACTATTTACTGTGTGCTTTGTTGTCCCTGTCAGCACCTGGATTCATTGACTTTTATATCAGTTGCCCCTGGGACCTTTCCATATTAGAGGTCGTTACTGCTGACAGTGTGTAATAAATACATTTCTAAGTCCATGCATTTCAGTGAGTGGGAAAGCAACAATAAAGGAATTATTAAGCTTGGCAGTTGTGCATTTGCAAAAGCACAAAATGAACCCTTTGTGGGGAAAAGGAGCTAGGCAGTGACTCCCCAAGGCTTCAGACTGTGAACAGCATGTTCCTGTACGCCAGGGTATGCAGTGATTATATGAGACCAATATTTGTTCATAGAGAACAAATTGGAAACAAGCTAATTTTCATCATCATCTTTAGACAGTTGGGCTTAGCCAGTCATTCTTGCGCTGAATTCTCTGGGCCTCATTCTGATCTCACGTGCACAGGATTTAGGCCAATGTAATTCAACTGACTTCAGCGGAAATACTCCAGACTTACACCAGCGTGAGAGGAGCAGCAGGCCTCTGGGTTGGAAGGACGTAGAGTAACTATGGAGAGGAGATTGAGGCTATATCCCCTTCATTTTAATAATAATAAAATTTTTGTTTGTGGGCAAAATTTTCAAAACCCCTAGTGACTTACAGTGGGGCTTGGTGCTTTGGAAAATTGTACCCTGTACTTTTTGGGTTTTACATATATCAGACAAACTCACAGGGCCAATTTTAAGGGCATGCCACCACTTGGGACTCCACACTGTGGGAGCCTTGCAGACTTGCCAGTGTGGACTCACCGCCTCGCTGCAAAAATTGGGCAATACTGCAAAAAAAAAGAGCTGCAAGTATCTGCTTGAATTTTATCTAACTTTGCTTAGTCTGCACTCAGTGCCCTTTGTGCAGTCACTTCTCAGGACCATTTGTGCAAGCGCATTTTACTGGCAGCAATATTCACAGGAAGTACATTGCAAAGTTGAATGCACGAGCAGTTGTGGAAACCAAATGTTAAATTCATACTTGTGGCTATAGCATACTTGCCCAATCAAGGAACAGAAACAATAGCATGGGACTTATCTGACCAATCATAACTAACCAAATATAGATCTAATACAGCAAGAATCAAATACTTTCTGTGGTGTTAAAAAAATAATCACATGAAAGTGCATCAAATTTCAAACAACTAAATCTGAGGAAATTGTGAACTGCTCACAGGTATTGTGCAATCAGAAAATGAGGCTAACAGGATAATACTTAGTCCTGCCATGAGTGCAGGGGACTGGACTAGATGACCTCTCGAGGTCCCTGCCAGTTCTATGATTCTATGTCTTCAGGCCCTGCTGCAGGCCCTGCATAAAGTGCAGTAACTGGGGGGGTTCCCCACATCACCCAGCTACCCACTTCCCTCCACACATGGATTAGTTATTGGTATTACAGTAGTGCATTAAGGCCCTCACTGCGACTGGGGCCCCATTGCTCTGGGCCCTGTCTATACACCCAGGAGTCCCTACCCCACAGAGCTCACAATCTAAATAGACAAGGGAGAGGGGGGGTAGCTTGCCCCAACTCACACAGTGGATCAGTGACAGAGCCAGAAACAGATCACAGGTCTCCTGGTTCCCAGTCCAGGGTCCAGTCCATTGAACCAGTTGGGTTCACATTGACAGTGGTGTAACTTTTATTGCATTGGATCTGGCTTCATTAAAGTTGACGACGAGGTAAAGTCTCTGTACAGAGCAGTGGTATGTTAAGAACAGAGTAACTGGGAGAAACTGTCGTGGGTCTTTGTAATGTAAGGCTTGATGTGAATGTGCTAGAAAGCAAAGCACCTGTGTGGTTGTATCCAAGCATGCGGCTCACCTCTCCTTTGTGGGACTGTGCTCTTACACAGTTTTGGGATTCAGCATGATGGAAGCGGCAATGACTGTGAGCCAGTTGGGAAAAGACCTTTCATCATGTCTCCACAGCTCCTGTATGACACCTCTCCACTCACCTGGTCCCGCTGCAGCAGGGAGTACGTCACACGATTCCTCGAGTAAGTCCCCCACCCTCTCTCCTTACCTTCCTTCGATACCTGTGCTAGCGTCAGGGCTCATCAGTCAGTCAGGAGCCAGGCGCCATAGTTAGAGGGGGCCTGGATGAAATGGAGAGCTGCACTCAGAGCAGTAGGTACAGAACACACCTGATTGCTACTGGCTGGCCGCCTTCAGCATGGGCTTGGAGCGGCTGGGATGCCTAGTCACTGTTAGGAAGTTCAAGGACTTGAGAGTGGAAGGAGGACAAGCCTTATGTAGGGGTGAGGTGGGAATGGGAGTGAGGGTGGAGGTAGGTTTGCCCCTGAGGAAGAATTTTCTGGAAGAAGAACAGGTCTGAACTGTGGATGGATTTGGGGCCTGTGTAGCCTTGATCCATCCACAGCAAGACCAACACTACATCAAGACTTGGTAAGGACATAGGGCCTTCAGAGGTGGCTTATCTCATCTACTGATCTCTCATGGATAACATTCTCGGGATGCATTTTTAATCTTCATTGTGCTCTATTTTCAGTGCCTTAAAAAGGGAGCTGCAAGCCCTTTGTTAATGGAGGAAAGGCTTGTTCTTTTTCACTAGCGCTTCTGGAGATAACTCCTCAGCCTCTGCTGTAAATGGGACTTTGACTTCTTGAAGCAGTGCTTCTCACCGAAATGCAGCTTTAAAGGGCTTTCAGTCTTGGGCGTGGGTCATGCAGAAAGGACCATTCAACAATGAGCTGCAGATGTTCTTGATATTGGCATATCAAGGCAGAGAATGGGACAGAGGGTCGGGACCTTTTGTAATTAGCAACAAGTGTTTCTGATATTCTAGAACAGTGTTTCCCAAACTTGGGACGCCGCTTGTGTAGGGAAAGCCCCTGGCAGGCCGGGCCGGTTTGTTTATCTGCCGCCTCTGCAGGTTTGGCCGATCGCAGCTCCCACTGGCTGCGGTTCGCTGCTCCAGGCCAATGGGGGCTGTGGGAAGTGGCGCGGGCCGAGGGACATACTGGCTGCCGCTTCCAGCAGCTCCCATTGGCCCAGAGCAGCAAACCGTGGCCAGTGGGAACCGCGATCGGCCGGACCTGCGGACGCAGCAGGTAAACAAACCGGCCCGGCCCGCCAGGGGCTTTCCCTGAACAAGCAGCGGAACAAGTTTGGGAACCACTGCTCTAGAACATGCATCACTTGAAACCTTTCCGTTGTCTTCAGCAAATGTTGGTGCCCGACGTGCTCTCTGTCTAATGAGATCTGAGTGCAGGAATTGGGGGTGAGTGGAAATGTGCAACCTCATTCTTCCCCCATTTATCATTCATTAGCCCTCGTGTGTCCAGACTCCAGATCACTGGTATCTAATTTTGATAGCTGACAGGGAACCGTTTGGGGAGTAGAAAGGAATTTGCTTTCGGACAGAACCTTTCATAGTCCATGTATTCCCAAGGGGCTTTCCCAAATAGGGAGTTAGATGACGGGACTTGGGCACTGTGGAGACAAACAGAGCAAACTCCGGGGCCCAGTTCTCTGAATTGCTGGTCCCCACCTTGAGACGCAGACAGCTGCCCTTCATTCCCATTGGATCTCAGCATCTTGCCGAATCAAGCCCTAGGTGAACGACCGTCCATTCACAGGACTGACCATTAGAGCCCTTTGTGGAGAGGGGGCGTGTTGGATTGGATGCTAGCAGTGAAATCCTGGCCCCATTGAAATCAAGGGATTATTCCTCTCGCTTACTGAAAAGAGAGCATTGGAGCAACGCCACCGATCTCCTTTCTAAACAGCCTCCTATTTTCTTTCCCACTGCAACACATGATCTGTGACTGCCATCCAGCCAACTCACTCTCAGACTCTGGAGCTGTGTAAAACTTCAGTTACATTCTTTTCTACATTTCATTACCTCATGCCGTTGGCTGTTAATCCCGATTGCAAATGCACATTTAAATCACACAAACCTTTCTGGATCACGTCCTTATGTCATGTCACATAAACATGTGGTGTTATGCTGTAGCCTACAGAAAAGAACCCGAAGCACTATAAAATAATAGATGTTCTTTTGAATGTGTGTTAGATTGTTGCTCTCAGTGTAGACCCTTAAGATCCATCCAATTTTCTCTGTTTAATTACTAGTCGGGATGCTCACAGGTGCAGCTGTCACACGTGCATGCCCAGAAATACTGGTCCTGCTCTCACTCACACCAGTGTCACGCCAGGTTTCACTGGAGTTACTCCTCATTTGCACCAAAGCAAGCGAGAGGAGAACGTGGCGGAGATTCCAGCCAGAGGGAGACATTGCGGTACCCGTGCTTTAGTTCATGTCATTTTTCCATCACACTGAACTTCGCAATTGGAAGAGTAGGAATGTAGCCACTCTGTAGACCCTGCTCCCCACCCCTGCACAATATAAGCAGCAGCAGAGTGCAAGGAAAAAAGGGGACAGCTCAGTCTGAAACGTTCACCCCGCTACTGCCTCACACTGGCACACAGGATGGACAGCAGTCTGGGGCCGGACAAGCACTCCAAGTAACAGAGTGCTGGTGAGCTCTTCTTTTCTGCTTCTCAGGCATTCCCAGCCCCACTGCAAATATGACATGAGAAAACACAGGCACTGGCTGGTGCCAGTTGCCTTTTTCATGCTCTTGAGACCTCTCAAGACCTGTATTCGCCTAGCAAAGCTTTACCTTGCTTTACCCTCCGCTCTGCCCTGAGTGACTTTCCAAGGCAAACTAATTCTGTTTGTCTCTGGGCGGGAGGCATTCCGGGCTGAGCCACATTCTTTTGTACAGCTGTTTATTTTTAGCACCACATTGCTGACTCTTCAGTTTGTTATTAGGTTCTTAAGACTGGTGCCTAGAGATTTACATCCCTCAGTGAGTGCCTTGCATTGCTGGGACATTTCTCTTCATTATTGCCGGGGAAAGGATGAGGGGGCCTTCCAGAAGCAATGCTAGGGAAATTGTAGGTGCATGCTCATCTGCAAGGAACTGAGCAGCCCGGCAGAAGGCCTAGCTATGGGCATGGCGTGAGGGTTGGCTGTGTGATTGATCCCCCATCTCAGGTACTCAGCCAACAGCTTAAATACACTGCCTTGGCCCTCAGGTAGCGTAAGCTGGTGTAGATCTATGACTTCAATGGAGCAATGCTGACTTTCACCAGCTAATGATCTGGCCCTCTATTTTTAACCTTCACTTTTAGAATAGGAATTTCCTGATCACCATAACCTTGAGCTGCACTTCCCAAGAAAGAAAAGGGTCATCTGGATGCATTTCCAGTTAATTTCTGTCTCTCTCCTCCCCCAAGAAGGGCAGCTCTTCCTTCAAGGGGAGAGAACACTTCAGCAAAAATATTTCATTGGCTGTGACATCCCTCAGGCCAGGGAAAGGGGATGGTGTGAGCCCAGAAATGTCTGTGTTGTTAGAATAACGTTGGCAGGAAAGTAGGGAGGTATAAGCCAAGGCATTAGACCCTCATGACCCGGGCTTGCTAGATGTGCCTGGAACAGTCTTCACATTGAAAATTGCACTGTCCCATTTTGTATAAAAGAGAGAAAAATCAATAAAAGATTTGAACCTGTGAAAACAATTCGTAAGTTAAATGGAGAGCTGCCCTAAGCGTGAATCTGCCTGTCTTGCTCGGAAGCCTCCAGGCCTGAATATGTGAGGGGCTGAACAATTCCCATGAAGATCAGCAGCGCTCAGCTGGGTGAGGTCCCAAAGACCAGAAATGGCCTCTCCCTAGTGAGTCACCTCTTCCTCCTCCCTCATTGTGACTAGATTTGTTTTAAAAGTGACCAGCATCATTTAAATCTAAGAAATCCACAGTGAGTCTGGAGGAGGCTATGAACCTTATTGCCCCCAACAGTTACTAGAGACCCTCCTTTGGCTCAAGAAATAGCTCTGCTGCTCACGGACCTAAGGGTCGCGGGTTCAAGTCCCAGCAAAGCTGGTTATTGCCGTGAGTAGTTCAAACCACCCTGTGGAAGGGACCCTGGGAGGCGGGTCTGGCGGCTTAAGTAACAGACTTGGGAAGCGATAGCAATTGTGCACTCACAATCAAGTGCATTGTTCAAGTAGGGCACCTATGTAGTTTTCTCCCTCTAGCCTTAGCAGAAGAGAGTATTAAGGCTCTTAGGTGTCACCATTACGGGGAGATGTTCCGTAGTGAAAGTAGAAGACTGACTTTACTATGGGGGGAACGAACTGTGCCCGTTTCATGTCCCATCAGTGCCAGCCCTCTCGCTGTCTAGGCCAAGGTAGGGAGAATACTTTGGACAGAGCAACATAAGTACCCTTGGAGGTAAGGGGCTGGCTGCCGGTCTGACAGGAGCTGCAGATCAATGACCCACAAAATGAGGGAGGATTTTGGCTTCCAAAGACGATGCATTAACACAGGAAAAGGGTTTCAAAGGCAGATGCCAAGAATGAGAAAATGAAGTGCTTGCTATCCTAGTGCCACTCCCTCTGTGTGATCCGGAAAGCAGGGGGCATCCAAAGGTTTCCATGTTGTGACGGCATTCTCTGGCTCGATGGCCATCAACTAGTCTGACCTCTTGTGCATCCCAGCCCACCAACACCACCCGCACACCAACCCCAACAACCGAAATGAGACCAAAGTATTCCAGCCCACAGGAGACTAGACTAGTATGTGCCATAGGCAGGGGGGAAGCTCATGGCATCAAAACCAAAATATCCGGAGTAATTATTCTTTGTCTGTTTGTTACAGTTATCTAGAGACTGAATGGCTGTACCAAATGCCATGGAGAGATCAAGGAGCAGGTTTTTTCGCCCTTGTTCTTTCGACTGAAGTTTCACATCAGACAGTGACCAAACCAGTCTTAAGGAACAGCAATGCAATGCCATGGGTGTAGGTGACACTTAGAGTCCAGCTCTTACAACTTGACTTGACACTGCACTGAATGCATTGTTTCCCTTTCTATAAAACACCCTGTTGATGTTGTTCCATGAGCAAGTAAAGAACATAGCTTTGGAGCTGCCAGGCAGTGACTTTGCTGAACTCAGAAATGAATGTAAAG